CATTTCTAGATTGTAAAAAATTATCAAATGTATACAAAAGAACGTGAACAAGAAAAATTAAATCAAGATTGACCATCTATCACTTATTCTCTCTAGACAACGGTTTCTTAGTCCGAGACAATTACAATCTAACCCATGTTGGCTATAATAAGATACAACAATTCTTAGAGTTACCTTCTGATGAAAAATTCTCCATGCTTATCTTGAAGGATCCCATAAACCATCCATGATGCTAGTTGATTGTACATTACCTGATGACCATGCCAAAGAAGCCTATTCTTTTGGCAGAGGGAAAGATATGAAAAAAGAAGAGACAATAAAATTTTAACAGATTAAGCTTTTCCAATAAAATGTAGCTAGCAAACTCGTCTTCTACAATGAAGAATGAACAATTTAGATGAATATAGGATACGGAAAGCAAGGCCTCGGATTCAGGAAGAGACTTGAATACCTTTGAATGCAAGTCTGCAATTCAGGCACACCACAGTGACAACGTTTGTGAAGAAGATTGAGTAATTGGCCACCTCGAATATCGTCACGCTCGATCTCAAGAACGAGTTGATGCAGAGGTGGAAAAAGAACAAAGAACTATAAAATACAATCAATAAACAAGTCAAATCCATGGCATCATCTTACAATCATTGGACAACAAAATTACGTACAGAACAAAGGGCATCCCATCATCTTAGAACCAACCTTATCGAGGCCCTGGGTGACTATTGCCAAAATTGGCACCGTTTCAGACAACAGTTTCTGCTCCACATGAAGAACAGCAGATCTATAAACAGACAGTATCTCTACGATGCCATTAGCAATGGCCCTCCTATACACACTGGGGATTTCAGTTTTATCTTTAGACGACTCCACAGAATTGGGTAAAGAAGACCCATTACTAGAACGAATCCAACTCAAATTTCTAGACTTAGTAGCAAAGCGGTCGAGTTCTCTGTAGTAAAATCCTAACACGATGATCCTCTGAATTAAGTCCCTGAATCGGAATATAGAAAACCATCATGAACAAATTGTATAAAAGAACAGAATTGAAGTGGGTTGTGGGCGTACCTTTCGCTGGGTTCGAGAAAGGAGATATCAGGGGCTAGCTTGAACGTGGGCTCGCCGGAAATGGGGGCATCGGGAGGTAAATGATTCAACCCTAGAAGATTGTAATGCTCTCTTTCGTCAATTATCAGATCGCCGGTGTAACCCAGTAGAGCAAGTAGAAGTTCATGTAGCATTTTTGGTCGTTCACTCTGGAATTGCGAGACGAAGTAGCAAAGGAAATGAGGAGAGCATCACAGAGAGGCGCACTCCGAGGTGAGAAGAGAGAAATTTGGGGGTTTTTCGAGGTTGGCAATGGCGGAAATGCTTCAAGCTTTACAGAATTTTCAGTGAGCTTCTGAAACCAATTCAACTTTCAGATTGGAGTGGAGGGTTTTAGCAAATTGAAACTTCAAAATTTTCTCATTTAAATTGTTTTTTTAGAAAACCATTATTTTTGTTTGAAAAATGAGAGAACTTAACATTTTCGCGGGACCCTAACAAGTAATTTCCATCAATTTTTTTTTTCTTTTCAGAATTACAAAATTAGTCTCACAACTTTAAAATTTTATATTTTTTAATCTTTTTATTTCAAATTTAATCCATAAATTTTAAATTTGAGTAAAATAAGTCGCATTGATAATAACATTCAAATTTATATTTAATTGATTAATTATATTTAAATTATTTTAAATTATATATGATATATTAAACCCTAAATAGATACAAAATTCAAAGTTTAAAACTAAACTTGCAATTCAACATTTTTTTTTATAGTTGAAATTTTGAAATATTAATTTCACAAAATAATAAATATTTTATCTGCAAGTAAACAAAACAAAAATTATCGACCAAATAATTAGAAGTTCAAATTCTTAACTTATATGTGTTCATGTTGAGCTAATAAACAATTATTATCACACGTTGTTCGTTAAGAATTATATTAGATAATTGTCCCATGCCTGAATAAATAGAAAAATAGAGGAAGAATAAAATATCAAAAATAACAAAATACAAGTAATATGCAATATTTATTAAAATCCCCAAAAATTTATAGTAATAATAAATAATTTTTTTAAAAAAATTATTAATTTTTTTTATCCTCAATAATTATGAAAAACTTGTAAAAAAAAATTATAGAAATAATAAATAACTTTTTAAAATAATACTTTAATATATTTTTTTACTTAAAAAAAAAAATATATAGATATATATATATATATTATAAAATGGAAGATATTTTCCCATATACTCCCTCTTGGTAATGGCGGGGCCACTATGTCATTTCACTCCACATTCCATGGAGATGGCTAAGCCACCTTCAATGCGGTTAATGATCTTGTTCACTACGAAACGCACACTATCAGACGAAAACGGATGAAGATTTCGAAGATTACTCACCGTGCCGGCCGTTGATCTTGGACTTGCAGGAAGTTCTTCTGCAATTTCCGATAGTTGTTAGAGAAATCGAGACAGAGAGCTGCCATGGACGCGATCGAACACACCACCATCAACACCAATGGAATCAAAATGCACATCGCCTCCATAGGCACAGGCCCCGTCGTTCTTCTTCTCCACGGCTTCCCCGAGCTCTGGTACTCATGGCGCCACCAGCTTCTCTACCTTTCTTCCGTCGGATATCGGGCCATCGCGCCGGACCTCCGCGGGTATGGCGATACCGAGTCCCCGGAATCGCATACTTCCTACACTGTGCTCCATATCGTCGGCGATTTGGTTGGGGCTTTGGATGAGCTTGGGATTGAGAAGGTGTTTGTTGTAGGGCACGATTGGGGGGCGATCATCGCGTGGTACTTTTGCCTGTTTAGACCTGATAGAATCAAGGCGTTGGTGAATCTGAGCGTCCAGTTCATACCTAGGAACCCTGCAATTCCTTTTGTTGAGGGTTTCAGATCTGCGTTTGGTGATGACTTCTACATTTGCAGGTTTCAGGTGAATATAATTTGTATTAGTTGCTTATGTTAGAGGGTCAATTATAAGATTGGTTAACTCATGGTTTAGCCTTCTTCAGTTCCGTTTCCAACCATGGTGAGATCTCACACTGCCCTGTTATTTATAGGCGTTTGGTCTCCATGCTTATAAAGAATGATTCGTTCTCTTCTCCAACTAACGTGAGATCATGATCTCACAATCCATCCTTGAGTTAAGCTAATGTGAGATCTCACAATCCATCCTTGAGTTAAGCTAATGTGAGATCTCACAATCCATCCTTGAGTTAAGCTAATGTGAGATCTCACAATCCATCCCCGAGTTAAGCTAATGTGAGATCTCACAATCCATCCCCTTGCGGCCTAGTTATGGAGAGATTTCTACACCCTTTTAGATTCATTTCGCTCTACCATTAACGTGAGATCTCATCATCCATCCCTTTGGAGCCCAACTAATAGGGAGAGATTTTCACACCTTTATAAGGAATATTCATTCCCCTCGTTAATCAACGTGAGATCATCCCCTTGAGGGCTAGTGTGCCATCCATCCCCTTGGGGGATAGTGTCCTCACTGGCACACTGCTCGGTGTTTGGCTCTAATACCATTTGTAACGAGTCCACTTTGTCCCGTTATGTATCGCTGTTAGCCTCACGATTTTAAAATACGTCTACTAGGGAGAGATTCTCACAAGAAATGCTTCGACCCCTCTCCAACCAATGTGAAATCTCACGATATGTCTTCATATCAAAGAATCATGTTCTCTTTAATTTGTTAAGTTGTACTTATTTAAAGAGCCCCATTTGATTGAATCACCAGAAAGTTTCACGTTCATATAAACAGCAGAAACTAAAATGAATTGGATCCTAACAGGTTCCAGGAGAGGCTGAAGAAGATTTTGCCTCCATTGACACAGCTGAGTTATTCAAGAAATTTCTCTGTAGTAGAAGATCAGATCCTCCAAAACTGCCCAAAGGGGTTGGAGTTCGTTCTATCCCATCCCCAGAAAACCTTCCTTCTTGGCTGACAGAAAAAGATATCAACTATTTTGCTACCACTTTCAAGCGGACAGGCTTTACTGGAGGATTGAACTACTACAGAGCCTTCGACCTGTAAGTCGTAGATTTAGCCATTCAGATTGCTCTGTTCTTATTAGTTCAATCCAATTGTTCCATTCCTTTCAAGTTCAAATCATGTTTTTTTGTTGCAGAACTTGGGAGCTGACTGCATCATGGACAAAGGCACAGGTTCGAGTGCCGGTGAAGTTCATCATCGGGGATTTGGATCTGACCTACCAGTTTCCAGGAGCCAAGGAATATATCCACAATGGGGGATTCAAGAAGGATGTGCCGTTTCTGGAGGAAGTGATAGTAATGAAAGATACTGCTCACTTCATCAACCAAGAAAGGCCACATGAAATCAGTACTCACATCCATGACTTTATCAAGAAATTTTGAACTCCATCCATTCTCCATTGCTTGAATTGTTCTTTCTTTTTTCAGTGACTTTGAGTAAAGGATAATTTTCATCACACCCGTTTGCAGAGTGTAGTTTCTAATTATAAATAAAGGCTATAAGGTCGTAGGTTGTGACGTTCATCGAGGATCAACTATATGGGTTTCGTTGAAGAATAGGAAAAGATGACTACTAAATTTTGAACTTTTCTCTTATATACGACACCATCTAATGCCCTCTCCAATGAGACTGGCCACTTGAGGATGTGTTGAATTCAAGTCAATCATGTGTGGATTTCTTTAAGGTTAACTTCAAAATGAGTCCCAACCATCTTTGAACCTTCTCATCCATCTTTCGAACTATGTGAACTTGCGAGTTCATGCCAGAGCTTATCGGGAGAAATATCACAAGATACTTCCATTTAATTACGATAAAAGGCCTACATCCAAGTTTCATAAGCCTTGGGTCCACTATTCCGATCGTCATTTTCCTACTCCCAACAGAAGCCATCAGAAACTCAAGGGTCGCCGAACCCTATACAAGGGCCAATCTAATCTCACATATCTAATCATTTTTCACAGTTATTTTGATTCATATGCTTAAATAAATGTTTTGTTCATACAAACTTTTTTTTCTTCCAGCCAACTCTCATTCTCCAATATAACAAATACAAAATCTACAATATCAACCATACTCGAACTCGCTACGTCGTAAAAGTAAAATTCTGCTACACCTAAGGCTCGAGTAATCTACATACTAGACAAAATTCAGTTCAAGAATTAAGCTGTACTTACTGGATTTCTCCCTCAACACTTCAGCAGCAGCTCATTGTGCTTGCACGGTGGAATTGTTGTAATCTGGTACCGGTAGAGCTTGCTGTTCAGTAAAATAAAGTCTGTACCAAATTAGATCTCAACATCATCAGCACTTCAATCTCTTAATTATAACGACTTTCGGTCTATTTTATAGCACAACTAGAAGGAAATACTACTATGAAAATGAGAACTAAAATGTGATGATGAATGAGTTCACGGCTAATCATGGCAACCACTGTGATCCCGCTGTGATCTGAGATCTCTTCTATTCCTGGTTAAGAGAACTGATCTGATTATATCATACAAGTCACGGCCGACTAGAATTTCCAGCCAGAACAAGATGACCATATCTTACAAATAATCTCCTGTACTGAGCATCGAATAATAGCGCCTTTCCATACAGTGAAGAACGAGATTCATATCCTATTTCTTCGCGTAGGTTATCAACATTGAATTTTGTGGATTCATCTTAAAACCTTGGAGTGCTTGCATGGCTACTGTCGATTGTACCTCATCACCATACTCTACAAATGCAATACCTGGCTTTGCTTCAACCATACGAACCTCCTTAAAACCAGGATACTGACAGAAAAGCATTTGTAGCATCGTTGGAGTTGTCTCCTGGGGAAGATTTTGTATAAACAAAATGCTATTGGGCGGGGCAGGTGCTTCTGGTACCATAACTCCACCTGGATAAGGGACTTGAGAATGCTGCACCATTTTCAGAAGGGGGGAAGGAAAGAGAACCTGTGCGTTAGTAACATATAAATTCCAATAAATAAACATAATTAAGTATCAAAATTATTCATACGATGAATGTCAACCAAGATTTGCCGCCTTAAAACTTAGTCAATAGATAAAAGACATACAAGAATACATCTACTCATGAAGACATCACCAACTAAGTCCCAGAAATTAAAGCGTTGAATCATTTGGTAAAGGCTTCTTTAACAATCATCACATTGTGATATATGAAATGAAAAAAAGAAATAAATGCAAATAACCCCCATGGTACGTTTCTTCGTTCTCTATATAATATATCTTTCTCTCTCTCTGCGAAAGGAAATAAAAAGGCAGATAAAATCCAAATGAATAACTAAAAATAACAATGAACTTTCACTACCAGGAGGAGGGAGTAAGAGAATGAAGTGCTTCCTATTGCATAGAATAACATACAAATTACTGAAAAGAGTGAGAAATGAGAATGGAAGAGAGAGCATCATTCTTAGTAAGCAAAATTAGCCTCAGGAAGTGAAGTTCTACCTCTTATTACTTGTCCTTTATGATTTTATAGTTTACAATCATGTCAGTGAAACACTTGGAATACATTTTTTAACAACAGATGAATATAATATCCTAAACTGACATTGTGGGAGAATCAACTATGCAAGTTAGTGAAGGCTCAAATAGAAAAAAAAAAGAATTTTCCAAAACCTAATGTTTAGGTATTAAATAGAGATACTTACCCCTGTTGCGCCATATGCTCCAGAAAAAGCAGGATTCAGACCCATCCCAGCTTGATTAGTATCATGCTGCTCTTTCTTCTTCCTCCCTACCACATCAAGAGAATGGACAAATCTTTGATTAAACACTGCTACATAAGCAATAGAACAACACGTTCCTTCACTTTCTTGAATTGTCAAATAGAAAATAAAGACAAATTATACCCTTTTCCCCGTGCCTCTTTCGTTTCTCCCGGGGAACAAATGTACCATCAGACTTTGCAATTATATCTGATTTTGTCTTTGCATATTGGATCCTCTACACCATTGCAAAACAACATCACTTAGTTAAGTATTACACCACACTCCCCCAAAATATTAGTCCAGCTAACAAAAGATACACTTCCAAAATATTAGTCCAGCTAACAAAAGATGAATAATAGACCAGAGGAATAAATGATATATAGAGTTGTCTGCACTTTATACCATGGAAAAAGATATAAAGCCTATGACACATTTTCATAAATCCAAAGAAAATATGGATATTAGCCACCAGATTTACAAACAAGAAATGCTCAACAAATATAGAACTTTCAAAAGATTTGCCGAAGCCCCATTTGACAACCACTTGATGTGGTTGAAAATATTAAGAACCAATGCCATAAAGCACAGGTCGATAAATTCAAACGCCTACAATGGATATATTTAAGAAGTATACATACACTTCAAGATCAAAGGCTCAGTGCATATTCTGTTACATGCTTGATCATCAAAGAATAATTGTTCTTTAGCTTCGTCGAAATGATATCAGCTATAAAAATCCAAGCAGACCAGGCCGTCAGTTTGGCAATAATCAGCAAAACCACATTATTTACAAGCCATATGTAACTAAATCTCAACTGTCTAATAAGATAAGACGAAATATAACCCAAACACAATTCCAATTCGTAGCTCAGAAAAATATATTGGCACTTTCCCATTCGCCACTATGATTTTTATTACATTAATTAAGTGCGCATACGAACGATAACGATATCTTCACAGCAACACTTATTTAGTCTTCATCTTAAACTCGAATTTAACAAACAACATAAAAGTTCTCGCAGTTGAAAAGGCTAAGAAGCACATTACCATAGGCTTATCATAGAAAGGAAAGCCCTGCATTTGTCTAATCGAATTAGTGGCGGAAGAGACTTCTTCGAACACAACCCAAGCCTGCCCCTTGTGCTTCAAGGTCTTGAAAGCCAACACTTCCAGAATTTTCCCGAACTGCGAGAACACCGCGTTCAGCGACTTCTTTAATTCTGCTCCACCAAGGAGTAAACAGTAAAAAACACACCATAATTCAGATCATTAAAGAAGCTCCCCTATCCCCCTCGCCTCAAGAATACCTTCCAGCTTGATTTTCTCGTTCAGATTGTTAATGTAGATGGTCATGTTCGAAGGAACTTCATTGCCAGTGCTGTTGACCTCCGCCATTTCTTTCACCTCCGTCCGCCTAATAGATATGCTCAAATGGAAAAGCTAAGGAGGTCGAAAAGGAAACAACGATGGTCGACCACGGAGAACGACGGCTTGATCCGATACATGCAATGTCACTCCGCTCGCAGGGGTCTGGTCGGCCCGAAAGCCCTAACTATAACTACGGATGAAGAAGAAGACGGAGTGGCCTGCCAGCTATTGTGGGCTTAAATTGTTCGGGCTTTACCTTATTGGGCTTTCGTTTTTGGGCCTACAGCTAACCTGACACCCGACAGAAAAATGAATTTTAACGTGTTGTTACTTATTTAAAAATAAATAAATAAATGTTTCATTATTAAAATAATAATTACTTAAATTGAAAAAATTTTAAAACTCCAAATAGTTAAATTGGGTCTTAAAAATTCTCGACTCAACCTCTAATTTTAAAATTTTAAAATTGGGTCTTAAAAATTCTCGGGACCCAACCTCTAATTTTAAAATTTTAAAATTGAGTCATCGAAAATAATCAATTTTAAAATTAAGTTTCAAACTAAGTTATGATTGACATGTCACCCATCCACGTCGGAAGATGATGGTCCAGTCAGCATTTCATTAAGTCGAAAACTCTTTAGAATTACTCTATATACGTTAATGACTCAACTCTAAATTTCGAGTTAAAAAATGTATTTTGATGCTACTATCATTATTATTTTAAAAATTGTCACGATAACTTCCGTTAAATGAAGAACCAAAATTGAGAAATTTCTAAACGATAGAAAAGGAAATATTCTTTAAAGAAAAAAAAAAATAAAAACAAAACTTCGAAATTAAAAAAATAAAAACGGAAAATTGAAAATGTTACGTATAATAAAATTTGTGATTTATTGTAATAACTACATGAAGGACAAAATGGAAAGGGAAATAAAACAAATTAGGAAAAGGAATATATTAAAATTGGAAATAAATATTTTGTAAATTTAATTTGAATTCTATTTTCCCTAATATTCCTTCTCCTATATAATTCTCAAATTTAATTTAATTCTCAAATTTTTATCTTCCCCATGGCTCGCTTCTTCTCCGGCGTCAAGATCATCTCCGGTCTCGTTTCCGATGGACTTTCAGAAGCTCTCATCAGGTATTTCTTATATACATACATACATACATGCATACATACATACATGTATATATGTATATACATATACGAAACGACTCACTTTGGGGTTATTCAATTATGGTTTTCACGTTGCACTTAGGCGTGGATATACGGCGGAAGCAATGGCGGCGTCGAAAAGAGCGGCGAGGGATGACGGAATGATGAAGAAGGGGGAACAAGCAGAAAGGAGTAGAGAGAAGGTGGCGTGGGTTCCAGACCCGGTCACCGGCTACTACCGGCCGGAGAACTACTCCGATGAGATTGACGCCGTCGATCTTCGTGCTATGATGTTGCAGCCAAGAAGAAAATTTATTGAACAAAATGAATAAATTTGGATGTGTCATTGATGAAACGAGCCCTCGATTGAGATTATTTTCTCTTTTTTTAAAAAAAAAAAAAAAAAAAATTGAATCTCTATATTTCCAATATTTAAATTTATTTTTGAACTATTTTACAAATAAAATATATAAACTTCATTAGGTCTTATTTGCTAGCTTGTGCACACTCTGACCTCGACCGCTCTATCTAGCCTTCATCTGAAAAAATACAAGTAGCATGCTGGTAGGTTCTTCGTTCGTTCTAAAATCTTGTCTCATTAGTTTGTTCGTTAAGTTGATGTCTTATTCATAGTTAAAAATCTCGTCTCTAAGTCATAGGTTATTCCTTAGGTTAACTTGACTTGCCTAAGCTCAACTTAAGATAAATTTGTCGGTTTTCAGGATTTTACTCTTGTGAGCTTATTAACTCATAAGTTCCATCTTAGAGTTCTAAGGCATCTTGATTTGTTATATACTAGTCTCTTTCATCATCGTTATCGTATAAATCATAGGTATTCGAGGTGTGACCTTGCCGTAGGTTCCAATTAATATTTCGTATCATATTGTTGTGGACACTGTTCTCAAATTCTCTAGCAAAGTTTAGTAAGCATCTCCCTCATAGGCCTCGTAACGTAAAAATCATGGAGGAAGGTAGTGACACTCATGCTTTGTCAAGGCTCATCTGCATTCATACATTTCATGGCTCAACCATAATTCTACTTACTTATAATCATAAAGGTGCAACTATAGACCTCTACTGGTCGGAGAATTAGGAATCAATAGGCAAATCCCTAACCGAACAAGATTGGACCGGTTGTCCCCTACTTCCAACCAGTATCTCCTTTGAGCGCGTTCTTCCACCATTCATTTTTCTTTGCTTGGTTCTCAATTTCTATACGGATATAGATATATGTGATTGTTCTCGGTTGAGATCATTGGGAAGAGTAATTCCACATTGACTAATTAAAAGAAAAATCATGTATTTATAAGTTAAGAAGATCACCCTATTTCTTGTCGTAGAAAGATAAGATTTAGAAATAATGTAACGACTCTAGATTTCTATTTAAGCTAAAGTCACTACTGTATACATGACGTAATCATTTTATGTGGAAATGATCATTTGAAACTTCATCATGAGATTTACGTGTTGAAAAACATCTTTAAGACAACATAGCGAAATACTAAATAAAATAAATAAACATTAAAAGTAAAAACATCCTATTCTAACATAAAGTCTAAAAATTTAAATACAACTATCATATGCATGTGTCATGGTCTCGACTTAAATAAACATTAAAAGTAACATCCTATTCTAACCTAAAGGGTAAGAAATTAAATACAACTATCTTATGCATGTATCATGCTCTTGACTTGTGATGTTGTCGTCAGCTGTAAACTATCCTCCACTATTAGGGTTAGATGCAAACACATACAATCATGAATGAAACCTATCATTTCAATCGGTATGCCTGAAGGCATATCCTACACTATTTGGGGTTAGATGCAAGCACTATTCTACACTATTGGGGATAGATGCAAGCACTATCCTACACTATTGGGATTAGATGCAAACATGTAGAGTACGGATCCACCAAACACTTTGCACAGTTCTTGGGCCCCTTACTTGGTCAATGATAGCTAGCATTCTCTAGTGCTATTGTCAGAGGTGTAGCATTACGATAAACATAATGATTATTTTTTTGACTCATAACGTATGTGTTTATACCATCGTAAAAGGGAGATTTCTCGATGCATGTAACATACAATGATTCATGAGATCCCAACATTTTCATTCATTAAATCATGTAAAACAACCCTTCAATTTTCCTTCATATCATATCATTTTACAACATAACTTCTAAGACATGTATTGGGGTTGAATATCGTATCATTCATATTATACATCGTCTTATGTCATTTCATGCACATAACATATCTTTTGACATATCATATTATATCATGCACGTATCAAATAATAAATCATGTCACAACATGTATTATATCGCCAAACGTGATACACCATAACATATATCGTATTATCAGCACATCACATCACAACACGTATCATAGTCGTATCATATCACAGACATATCATCATCATATCATTCTATAAATATATCATAGTCATATCACTTCACGAAGGTATATCATTTCATAAACGTATCATAGTCATATGTTTATATAAACATTTCACACATATCAAACATATGACACAGACACGAGATCGATGCTGCGAAGCTAGGTGGTGCTATTATGGTGGGGAAGGGTCGACTTCTGCTCCGAATGCTTTTTGTGGTAGAACCACATGACACATGTCATCATACAAACATCAATATCTAACCATGTCGATATCAAAGTAGAGTGTTTCCTTTCTTTTTTCTTTTTTTTTTCTTTTGTTCACAACCTTCCCTCTCTTTTCTCTTTTCTCTCTGTTCTTTTAAACTATTTAATTAATTTTGCTTTATTTATCATTTTTTTAATGCGGTTGTTACAATTAAAGTGAAGAACAGGTTGTTAGAAATGAAGTGAAGGTTGTTAGAAATAAAGTGAAGGGAGATTGGATGAAACAAAGTTTGATCAAGACAACACGTGAAACGTGTTCACTGCTTTCACACCTTTTTCCCATTCCTTCAATCATTTTAATACAGACTACAAATTGATTTAATTTTTCTTTTCCTTCAAATATTGGCGATAATAATAAATAAATAAATAAATTTATGATATAAAACAAATAAATAATTGAAGGTTTTTAATTTTTTTTTAAAATTAATTAATTTATTATATATAAATTTAAATTTTATGTCTACCGTTAAAAATTTAGAGAAAAATTAAATAGAATTAATGTTCAGAATTCGAAGAGTAACTTATAATTTAACTTATTTTAGTGATGAAATTGATAAGATAGAGAAACTGGATGTGAAAATGATATTGCTATGGCAGTGCTGCCATTGATAGGATAAGAAGCAGAGGAGTTGAGTATCCATCCAGAAATCAGAATTTGATGATGAAATCATAGATATGGGCGCTTATTTCATCTGCTTTTTCTTGGTTGATGAAGTGCGCTGCGCCTTCCATCACTACCACTTCTTCCAGAAGTGGTACGTCCTTCTTGAATCCGCCGCCGTGGATGTACTGCTTCGCGCCTGGCAAATGGTACACCATATCCACATCTCCCACTACGTATTTTGTAGGAACTTTGATCTTCGCTCCACTCCATGGCCCTGTAAGCTCCCAGGTTCTGCAATCATTAAGCAAAAACACAAGATCGGTTTCTTGGCCCTAGAAAAATAAGAAGAGAGAAATCTATTTCATCAAGCTAAATTTGTGAATCCACACTGCTCAATAGCACGATAGTAGTTGAATCCGCCGGTGAAGCCAGTTTTCGTGAATTTGGAGGCGAAGTAATCGATATCCTCCTCTGTTAACCACGAAGGTAAGGTTTCTGGAGTCTTCAGTGTTTTGAATCCATTAGGTATAATCGGAGGGCTTGGATCTCTAATCGTCAGGAATTTCTTCATCATTGTAGCCGTATCCACAGATCCAAAATCGGCTTCCGCTACTCCAGGTGTCTAAACCAAATCTCACAATTAGCGATTCATCAGTTAATCTAATGCGACAGATTCATTCAATTTCAGAAACCACAAAACACTGCGAACATAAAATCGATTTTACCTGAAATTTACAAATGTAAAAATCGTCGCC